CTGAAAGCAACAGGTCTAATTAAGCCAAATGGGTAGCATAAACAGGGTGGCAAATCCTGACAACATAAGAAAAGCCTGCTGGATCAGGCCAATGGCCCAGCATCCTGTTCTCACAATGGAGAGCCAGAGGTCTGTGGGAAACAAGCAAGCGGAACATGAGCACGAGAGCACTGTCCCCTCCCATAATCTGCATTTTCTTTTCCCCAAACTAGGGCCAAGCAGAATTAAAAGGGCACTGGTGGGATTTCTCTTGCACTTTATATGATAAAAAAGTCCTGCTGCGCAGAGGCATCTCTAGATCCTGAAACCCTGATTGTGCACCATGCGAGTGCAACTAAAAGCATGGTCCCACAACACTTTTGCTGCATGAAGTGGAGACCTAGAGAATTCGTGCTCTTGGAAAAGAACGTTGTGGTCGTCACCACACCAGCCGTTTATCCTTTCCATCCTTTTCTCATCACAGTTATGTGACCAACCCTATTTATCTGGAAGCCAGGGGCAGCAGGAGTGGCTGCGTACAGACCATACATTTGAATACACCCCCCAAAAAGGATCCTGAGAACTGTAGATGCAAAGGGTGCTGGGAGTTGTAGGGCTGTGAGGTATAAGTTACAGGGCAGTGTTCAAATAGCATGTTCCATCAGAGCAAAGATTTCTGCTTGTACAATGGGACTCTTGCCCCCACCCACCACATAACATGCACCCTTCCCAATCTGCTCCACTACCTTGGGGAAACTCCCAGAACTGACTTAGGGGGTGCACAGGGGAAGGGGAGAATGTTCCATTGCACCAGGAGAAATCCTTGCAGTGATGGCACTTCATGGATTCCACCCAGTTCCCAGGATTCTTTGGGTGGGTGGGGATATGCTTTAAATATGCTTTAAATATATGCTGTGTACGCAGTCAGAATCACAGATTTGGATTTAGCAGGCCTATCATGTCCTTGGATTATTTCACCATAATAATTCCTCCAGGTTAGGCTCTATTCAACAAGAACACATGCATGCCAGGAATTGCGGGAAGAGAGCAATTTTTTCGCTCTTTAGCTACCAAGCAGTTGCTTGCGTGACTATAAAAGCATCTAAGTTATGCTAAGTAGTAATTAATCTTCATTAATTTATTTTGAATAATGTTGATGAGAAATTGGACCTGAGAATTTAATTGCTTCCTGGAGCACCAGTTCTCAGATGAAGAACTGGCAAGAGAAACAACAAGAAAGAAGGTTTTCAAAGAACAGAACCTTTTCTCTTAAACTCTTAATTCCGGTCCGTATCATTTACAACCAGTGACTACACAAAACAGATAGGCTACGGTATTTGATCTGTGAAATATTTCCGATCTTTTTGCCTTTCTTTTTTCGTTTCCCAAATAAGTAACTTCTTGTTTGTGAGCTTGCGGACATGACTATCTGCTCATGCTCAGATACTGACACAGAGTACATTCAGATCCAGAGGTGGAATGCGTCCTTGTGCACTCACCTTTAAAATTCATCAGATGAAAAACAAGTCAATTTTCTCTCTTCATCACAGACTGAGTAACTTTTTATTTTTATTCTTTTGCATGAGTGGAACGTCAAATAAGTCTCACATCCCCACCCACATTCTGGATGGGAGATGGTTTTTAATGAAACACACAGAAAGAATGCTGTCTCCACTAGAATCTCGTTTTTGTTTCATGGTAAGTCTAGCTCTGCACCTGAGTGAGCAGTTGTATGTGTGATGACGGAAACAGCAGTTGCCTAGAACAAGTGTTCTTCAAGCTTGGGTCCCCAGGCCCAGCTTAGGGTGATTGGAATTGTAGTCCAACCACATATGGGGACCCAGCATAGCACAATACAGATATGTGATATACTAGGGATTCCTCTTTTATCTTTGCTTGCATTACAGTCTAGCTGTTGATCGGTAGAAATCCTGAATCTCTTTCACATTTGGGCATATGACTGCAAAGAGGCATTTTTACGCCCTGCATGGGTTCTGAAACTCATTCGTTTGCTGCTGCTGCAGCAGCAACCATCTTTCTTTAAAGCCAAGCACTCTGGAAAACTAAGATACAGATATGCATTTATTCAAACAGGTAAATAAAAATACCAAAGAAAGCTGATTTTGTAAAATACTATCTTTAATTTGCCCTTTGATTACATTGTAACAGCCAAAGTATAAAACTTACAAGTTTACATTTGAACGGAAATATACATTTTCAGAAAATAAAAAAGAGTGTGTACATGGAAAATGTCTAATGTGCAATAGATAAAAGCTGATAAAGTTATTGCTTCCAGTATCACCTGACTCTCTCTCATACCTGTCTCCTGTCCCTGTCAGGTGAGGGGAAAATTAATTCAGTAATCACTAACAGTGATAGGGAGTGCGTAGTTGTGGAAATGGGCAGGGATGTAGAGATTTGGAGGACCTGAACATATTGCAGAGTTCCTGCAAAACATCACAGCCATATACATGATTGAGCTAATGACACTAACAATATACAATCCATTTTCCAATATATAATCCACTTTCATCAGTGGAACAAACAATCATCAACACAGAGCTCTTTGCGTTTTCAGGAAAATGTGTCATCATTGGAGTTAAAGTGCAGCCTTCTTGTGGAAAATTGTAATGTATGCCTCTCTAGACCACAATACAAAGCCTTATCTTTTTATCATTCAATTCTTATCATAAGTCATAAGGGACCTAAAATTTTTGGCCACCTTGATTATGTGAAGATGTACCAGCATTTTAAAAGCTCAGCTCAGTTAAAAAAATAAAATAAATCCCACCAAAGGAAAGGATTTTTAATTTTCTTTTTGCAGGTATTTGGTTAATGTGATCTTGTGCAATAAAATAGTCAAAAAAAATCCTCTATGCTACAAATCGCACTCTTAACAGTATAATTTTATAGAAATCTATAGTGAAGTCCCATAGAGTTCATTTGGGCTTCTTCCAAATAAGCATGTACAGGACTGCAGCCTTATGTATTCACTTGTCAGAGAATAATGCAGGGAGCACGAATGCCTATTAAAAAAACCCACCCTTTCTAAATTTACAAAAATAGCTATTATTTTACAATCTGTCAAGACCAGCAAATAAAAAAGAAGCTTATGCTCTTGTTACATACAGAAAATATTCTACTAAAACTTCTTGAGCCATAATATGTCAGCGTTGCCATTTAGAGATTCTTCCTGCAACGACAAGAGGCTCTCACAGAAACTGCTTTGATTAGGCTGGTACATGTTTAAAGGCACATGCTGAATACTTGAAAGGAAGAGGGAGTAAATAACACTGTTGACAGTGGTATTGTTTTTCAGTTTCTCTAGCTCTGGCGTTAGGCCCTGTGATTTTTCAAACATGAACAGTGTCACCATTACCATGAATCTCATCAATGAATGCAGACAAGATTGTGTATTTCTGACTCTGAGCAACTGTCTTGAAATACTTTTCACACCCCGTTGCATCTTTTATGACTGTTGCTTGAAGGGTAGCAATTTCCCCTACAAAAATGGTACTACTATCAAACCCTGTGACATGCACGCTTGGTCCTTAGCTGTGTGTGGAGGGAGCCTTTGGGTCCATTCGTCTTGAGAAATCCAGTCTTGATTCATTTTGTGCAAAAGTCTTGTAGCCATAGTGTCCCATGCTGAAATGGCTGGCCAGTGGCCGCAAGCCAAACTCAGCACAGCTTGCCCCCCCCCCAAATATTTTGTGAAATCTGATCAGCACCGATCAGAGTCATTTTGACAACGAACCATTTTATTAAATGTGTTACCAGTCTATGTAAGTGTGTATACTGGTGCTTACATTGTGTTACTCTTTGCAAAAAATATATAAACATTTTCCAAACAAAGTTAAACAAATTTCAAAATCTTCTTTCCTAAAATTAACGTTGGGTACTTTCTGAAGGTGTGTTCAAACTGTATCATTAATACAGATATCCTAAGTAAATGTGGCTCAATTCTTTTGAAGGAATTAAGCCTCCAGGGCTTTTATCTGTATGGCTGAATTTTAGTGCCCATTTGCTTCAGACACATTCTAAAACTGTCTCAATTTTCTTAACTGAAATAGCTAGATATTTAGTTTTGCCTGATGATTTCCAAACAAAAGTGAGATATAATATTTTTTTTTGGCCCAAACCTTATCTGCAAATCTTTGCATCTATCACATATGCAGAACTTTGCATCAGACTGGAAGCAGAATTCTGTGAAATATATTTTTGAAAGACTGAATGGCAACCAGCCTGGTTCACTAAAATAACACATGACTTATTTTGTGTTTCTTTTGATTTGGGGGCAAATCGTTATGTGCCTTGCTTGCATTTTCCAGGCTCCCACTTGCCATTGATGGGACCAAAACAGTTATGTAAAGTCTGACATACGGAAAGGGTCATCACTAGACCCTAGAACCATTTGAGTCCATGAGACTTTGGTCTCTGACTTCAGTGGAACCAAGTTTAGATTCTCAGGAACACATAGAAGATCTTGGATATCATTGAGCTCCACTGCATCTAAGGAGGTCAGCACCTAGGCATTTTTCAAGTTATATTTTTCAATCTTACATGATCCAGCTCTCTCCCAGCTAGATTATATCCCTCACTAGAACGTACAGCCTTCGGAGGCAGTCAAGATGGCACTGGGATTCTTGTGGCACCATTCAGAAATTTCCATCATGCTGGCCTCCTCTACTGACACTGATCCTGGAGGGTTCAGCCAACAAAGCATCTTATTTTTACATTTTAACACATTCCCTTCAGCAGATGTGTTGCCAGTTGCCTCTACTTCCCAAGCAACCTGGACATCTTAAGTACCAGTAACCATTATTCATTGTGATCACAACAGATGACGTCTTCTGATTACACAGAAAAAGGTTAAAAGCTGATACTTTTTTTTCTCTTTAGGGTACTATTCTAAAGCAGAGTCCCCTGGAACCCTTTCCAATTTGTATCCCTGATTTTTGTTTATGCGGTGTTACATATATTTAGCATTTTTCCTTTCCCCTTGAAAAATTCAAATCTGTCTATTCAGCAGCTCCTGCCACTTCCTCGGGATTCTTTCCATCATTCTGGATCATTCGAACAATGTGCGTCAGGTCCAGGCTACGGGTCAGGATGTCAAGTAGAACCTCATCTTTCTGTACTCCGTCCATGAACTCCTCCAGAGACAGCTCACCTGCAAAAACACATAGGATCTCAATTCATGTACTGTATAGCCTAATGTAATGGATGGTGTGGTATCTGTTTTTCAAAGGGATGACATGGAAACCGAATTGGCTATTTCTGCTTCATGCCCACCATTTCTGCCCAAGTCGGAGTTGCAGGATTTTGTTTCACTTCCAAAGAAGAGAGAACCCCCCCTTCCTTACATCAAGATGTCACAATAGCTGATCAACCTACTTTCAAGGTCTGTAGCATATCAGATCTGAATCCGTTATCTTCACCCCTTTAAATTCCTATTTAAAATCTCTCTACTCAATTGATTTCTCTCTTTTTGACTAATCTCAACCCTGATTAAATTACTTCTTCTCCTGAATAAGCAAAATGTCTTAAGCATCTCAGTGGAGTACATGATTTGCAGACCTCAGGCTTAGTTAACTGACTTTTCCACAGTCTTTCCATAGACCTGCATTGGAGGTTTGTTCCCCTCTCACATTAACATTTTGTTGCATTTCTCAGGACCAACTTGCAGTGCAGTGTGAGGGGGGAATAGTTTCAAAGATTCAGAAAAGTAAGTGGAATGTTTGGAATGGAATGTCAGTTATGTCTGCCTTAAAAGCATAATGGTCAGAGGGCCAACAGAAAAGAAGTAGTCTTATTTATTTATTTATTTATTATTTATTTATTTATTTAGCTAATTAATTTCTTCCTACCAAAGAAATGTGAGGTAGTACCCCACCTCTCTTTGATCAATTTTGGCATGTAACACTGGCGGCCATCCCTCCTGCGCTGAATTTTCTCTAGTGCAAACTGATGTCAATCTGAAACCTTCACACAAGAGTCCTATAGGTCCCAGTCTATACTTTTGGCCTATAAATATCAGGCCACACTTTGGAGTGCATAGAGAAATTCTTACCATCTCCATTTATATCGATTTTATCAAACACCATGTTTGTGAATTCCTCAGCTGTCATTACTTCATTACATGGGTTGATGGTGCGAATCGCCTGCAGGAAATTGAGAACATTTAATGAGCTCAAGTTGCAGAGTTATGTGTTTGCATACAGTAGATGGATTACTCCCCCCCCCCATGGCCCCTATGTGCGTCAGTGGAGCACACATAAGTCTGCTTTGCCCCATTACGGCCACCCCCACCCTGCCCTCTTTAGGCCCCCACATGTCAGTGGTCATGTGTCAGTTGGACACGTGCAAAATGGTTGCCTCCTGTATTCAAACAGTAAAGGACAACTGTGCCATGGAATCTTCCACAAACTTCTGCCAAACACCATCAATACAACAATTAGCCAAGGAATATAACTCACCTTAATGATGTTTAGTAACTCATCCCTGTCAATACAGCCGTTTCCATCCACATCATACAGTTTGAAGTACCATCTCAGCTTCTGTTCCACTTTTCCCTTCAGGACCAAGCTTAGAGCTGCCACATACTCCATAAAATCAATGTAGCCATCCTGTTGAAACACAAGAGGCAGCTTGTCAGATGCTATGAGTAAGCCACAGCCTTGCTGAATGCTTTTGTGCCTTAAACATTGGATCAACCACAGGGTGCACACAAACAGCCTGGCAAAATACATTTGCAATGAAAATCATCAAAGAGAACTGCTCTTACCAAAACACACTCTTGGAGACCTTAGCCTCATCCTACCATTCATCCGTGGTCTTTTTTCTGCACACCTACTTTATAATATTTATATTGCTTCCCATAGGCACTCTTTCTGTTACAATCAAATACATATCTCAACTTTTATAATGCAAGTGCAATTACAACCCTGCTTTAAAGCTGGACAGAGGTATTAGTCAATGTTTACAGCATTACACAGAACATTTAGAGTAGGAAAAGGAACTGAAACGGGGTCCCTTAGGTCACAAGCACCAGTTCTCCAGTGAATTAAGCCCAAAGCTGATCTTGTGTACGGCATCCTTTTCCACATGGTTTTTGATTATATGAATTTTACGATGCTCTCAGACAAATAGAAAGATCACTGCTTGCTGTCTTTCACAGTTCCCCTGAAGAGTTGGGAGATAAAAGAGATGGTACTTTTAGACATCAACTACCAGGGATGTCTCAAAACACACAATTAAGCACCACACCAAAAGAATGAAGCTTCTGATGGTTTTGCCACCTCAGATGAACCTAATTTCTAGTGTCCTCCTTTTATATAGGAACAAAGATTTCCTAGAGATCTGCCTTTCATGGGCTCATTGACTGCTTGTGTATATTATCTGTACCTCTGTGATTCTCAAGCTGCTGTTAAAATAATGTTGACAAATCACTGCAAAGTTAAGGGAATGATTGCATTTCTATGCATTTCTACTACAAAACAGCTGATGTAAAAATGGGGTGGGGGTGGGGGGCCCTGGTGGACAAAAACTTTCCAAAATAACAAATAGATTTATTGTATTTACATATTTCTTTAAGTTTTTCTGCAGTGGAAAATGAAAAAAAGAAGTGCATGATCCTCTGTGCTGAATCTGTTCCATAGGTCCATTCACTGCTAAATATCACTGGTGCAAAGGCATTTTGGAAGACAATGTCAATCAGAAATGTATAGATGGATGCTAGGGAACTGTGCTTTTGAAATTCATGTGGCTGCGACTTTTGTGCAGATCTCAAATGTATAGACATTTACTAACCGAAACCTAAGGCTGCAATCCTTGGCAAGAAGAACTTGACAAGCCAAATTATTTGTCCAGATTTGTCTCCATGGAGATTAATTTCATTTTGAGCCCTGATTATCTGCATCTTCGTCCTTGTGCTTTATTTTGTTTTGTGATTATCTGTTGCCATGCTAGCTAGAGATTCAGGTCTTGGCCAGGACTTTCAAGGTGCTTTTTAAGAAGCTATGTGTCAGGATCAATGTACGTTTGCATGCATTATACACCTAAGATGTAAGTGCAGGTGCTGCTTCCGAAATTCTGGAATAGTCTGCTCAAATCATGTCTGTATACACCTGCTAAAAGCTAAACAAACAACAACAACAACAACCACTACACTAGATAGCTGTACGGTTTCATCTCTATGCTTCAATGACAGAACAGTACAATTTGAAGGGGAACATAGATTCCCGTGGGATGTTCTCTTACAGCAACTCAAACTATTTCCCTCTGGATCACAAACAGCTAATCTGATTTATTCTACAGGCGCAAAAGTCAGATTAGGTTTAACAACATTGAACCCAATTACCGGATTGGATTTCCTGCATGTTGATTTATTCATCTCGGCTGGGATTCAAAGAACCATGCAGCTAAATTGCACAAGCTCAAGGGGGCTTTCAACTTGCGTTGCTCAAACAGCAGTTCTTTATCCCACATGTCATAGCCACATTTGTAACCAAGGATACTTTCAAAATAAGTTGGTGGTATGGCATGGGGGTGGCATCTGCTGTTCATGAAGGAGAAGGGTAAAAAAACCCCACTGGGCCAAGCACAAAGCAGCTCTGTATCCCACTTTAAAAGTTTATTTAGTCTATTTTTGGTCAACCTGGCACACTTCTTGCATTTTCTTCTTTTAATCTGTTGAAAGGGAGAAACAAAACTTCTGCTAACAGAAACCTAAGTCAGCAATTATTGATAAGTAAATTAAAAGCCATGGAATTTATTTTCATACAAATATCCATGTTTGAGTATGCATGTTAGTCGTGTCTTTCACGAGGTCCAGCACTGAGGGCCTTCTGGCGGTTCCCTCACTGTGAGAAGCAAAGTTACAGGGAACCAGGCAGAGGGCCTTCTCGGTAGTGGCGCCCGCCCTGTAGAATGCCCTCTCATCAGATGTCAAGGAAATAAACAACTATCTGACTTTTAGAAGACATCTGAAGGCAGCCCTGTTTAGGGAAGCTTTTAATATATGGTGAATTATTGTATTTTAATATTTGTTGGAAGTCGCCCAGAGTGGCTGGGGAAAGCCAGCCAGATGGCCGGGGTACAAATAATAATAATAATAATAATAATAATAATAATAATAATAATAATAATAATAATAATTACTACTATTTCTTCTTCTTTTTCATCATCATCATAATTCTCTCTTATCTTAAAGACTCTTATTGAGAAATCAAGACTTGCTTTATATTAGATTTTTGCTTTGGCAAGGCCTGAAGATTAAAAGATCTGGTAACTCTAAATGTGAGTTGCAAGGCTGATTATTCCTATGACATTGTGAGTAGGAGGCTGGATCTATGGTTATGAAACTGCCCCATGCTGAAAGCATAATTAAATTACTGCACGTGGCAATGCAGGCAGAGTGCAAATGTTTAATCACAGGGTAAAGATGGTTCGGCAGGTGTCACTGCATGAGGAAGCATTCATATGGAAAAAACCTGGTTATTTTCTCATTTCAACCACTGTTATTCATGATTAATTCTTATGCAAGAACAGGAAACAAATCTTTATTTTGATCAACTGTCTATCCCTTGCCTCCAAGAATTTCCATTGTAACTTCTCTCAAAATAATGGGATTGTACTATTTTATAACCAGCTATACATTTTATGTCCAATTTATTTCAATGAACTTTAAGAGCATGAACGTCTGCAGACATCCATTGAGGAAATCATGGATGAAAACTAAATTCACATGGATGTGTGCTCAATGACTTTGCACAACCACTTCCTTAATCCATCAAATCCTAGGAGTTCATTAAATTAATAAAGGCCAAGTCGTGCATCCTTTAATCATAAACACAAATAATCTGATATGGAATTATGGTTGTAGTCTTTAATGTACCAACAGAGATTATGTCCCTTTGAACTGTGTGGGACTTCTACAGTATATAAATATGCTTAAGAACATTCTTCTTAGAAGGCATTAGTTTGACCCATTATACAACAAGTCAAACCAAAGCTCTATTCCACAAATTCTTGCTCAATTTGGTAGTTGTAAGTGATAGCATCTAATGAAAGTTTTATCAAACACTGTGGATTAGATAATCCTGAATACTCAATTCAATGCATAAATAAATTCTCAGATATGCAGAGGGTGAGTGAGAAATATTGGGCATTTGTAAATTATTGTTGGCCCTGTAAGATATATAGGTGTTGTCAAGAATAAAGGAGACCATTACTAAAATAAACAAAATGCCAAATGTTGGATACAAAATGGGATATTAACCTGTTTCATTTCCAAATGAAGTCCTGCAATTTAAGAAAAGCGCTTTGCTGAAACAAAAAATCCTCAAATGTTTGCACTGGGTTCTATATCACACAGGGAACCTTCATAAATTGCTGAAGCTCCCCATTTCAGACCATGTACCTTAAACTCACGAGGGCTGTAAACTAGAGGATAGTGACATAGTAGAAAGGTGAGGCTTAGTGGAATCTGCCCTCCTCACCTTCACATGTTTGCTCACATGTAGAGATGAACAGAGATGGAGGAGAAATGCAATTCAATTTGCATTTAAAGGTGAATCTACCTAATTTGCACTGACTGACTGAAACAATACAAGAACTGAAAATTCTCTGAATGTTCCAGTGCAGTATAAAAATGTTCATAAAAATTAATATATTTGTGAAAATGACATACAAAAATGCATTATATTAGAGGAAATTGCTTTGTAATAATGGATTATATTGGGGAAATTGCTATGTTTAACAGGCAAAATTGCATAAAAACAAATGTATCTGAAGAGAAATCTGCACTGATGAATTTTCCTGAGAATTATTTTTTTAATCACAAAGTTATATGGAAATCTGGAGAATAGAATTTAAGATTGTAAAGAAGAGGAACCGAGAGAAACAGAGACTAACAGATTTGCCTGTTCCTAGATATGGACAAATCTGTCAGTTTCAGTTTCTCCTTTTTAAAAAAAATCTTAAATTCGATTTGCCACATTTCCACATTAGTTGCACTTTTTTTTAAACATTCACCTAAAAATTCTTCAGCCTTTTAGCATGTCTTTGTCCTAATATGCACATTTAGAAAGTGCAAATTAGCTAGGTTCACATTAAAATGAAAACAGAATGAAATTTCGCATCCATCTCTACTTAGACACAAGTAGAACAAATGCCTGATTAAAAATTCATTGTTGCTTTTTGTGAAAACTGAAGCAGGAATTTACTGATAAGGGCATTCTTTTAAACAAAATTATCATTGTCGGTTTGAATATTTGTAATTGACAATTATGAGCTCTGTACCACAAGATGAAATGGATAGAACCATTTTTCCAAATTGAAATGTCGTTATTAAAATCTGTTTTTATTAGAAGCAATGTCCGGCAAGCTCTTACCACAACAAAAACGAGACAATATATCATTTAATCATTTTGCCTGGGAAACTTTTGCTTTGAAGTTAAAACTCAATTGAGGGACTAAAGAGAAAGTCTGGAATAATTTTCATTTGGGGTGACATTTCATGGGAGGCAGATGGATCAAAACATTGCCTTCCTGGGACATTCCCCAATTGTTGAAACTAAATAGCAGGTCTCCTCGACAGGAAATATTATACAAAGATGGGGAACCTGTGGCCCTCTAGCTATTGTTGGACTATAGCTCCTATTAACCTTGGCAACTAGCCATAGTGGCTGCAGACAATGAGAGGTGGAAGGCAAAACTTTGGTTCGGCATCTCTAATATCACATGTCCTTAGCAGCACCCTTTAGCCTAAAGTAGTTGAGGTAAGGTCAGTTTTGCTCTGTAGACTTCTGTATTATGAAATAGCTCAAATCCTAATACTTTCAAATGACTGCAGACAGTGAATAGATGTTTCGCATTTTCAGGCGGAGAGCTACAGTCCTCTGGTGGAAAGTAATTGAGGGTTGCATTCCAAAGGTTTGTGGGCCAGGCCCCAAAGTGTACAGAACCAGAAACACACACAGCCACACACACATGATCACACTTACCTATGCACAAACACAAGGGATGACTGCTTAAGTGCCAAACAGCAAGGTTTTTTTAATGACTACATAGAACAGACACACCCCAGACACACACTTAACACACAAGCACACACTTAACACTCACTTTTAACAGAGACACACACTGAATTTTTATAATTAACACAAGGATGCACACTTAACACACATTTAAGTGCACACACAGGTTCAGCCAAAGTTGGGCACTTTTAGCTGCATAGTGATGTCAGCGGGAAAGTTAAGCACTTACTTAAAAGTATTTTACAGTAAAATCAATAAGACTATAAAGTATTCAATTTTGGCTGGATCACTCTCAATCTCTACATCTTTTTAGTCTAACTGTGGGAAGACTAATATCTGGGGGAGCCTTTCTTGCACAAGTATGAAGCATTTGGGGTCAGTTAAATAACCTCTTTATCCATTGTCTCTGATGATACTTTTCAGACAAAGTTCTCTCTCCCACTCTCTCTCTCTCTCCTACGAAATACTCTCTAATAATTAAAAACGACTTTCTGCAAGCACGGGATGTTTATATCATTTAATATTTGTCCTAAATATTTCACAGTTGAACACTGCTGAACACTGTTGCCCCGTTTTTCTAAAATAACTAGGGTGGTGCAGAGAGGTATAGAAAAGACTTACAGACTCTGTGGTTCGGAATTTAATGAGCTACAGAATAACTGATCATAATCCATGTCTCTATAACTAACCTTCACTTCTCTGGCTCAGTTATTGGTTCAGTCCTTATATGTCATTTTGGCATATAAGTGGTATACAAATTAATAAATAATAAAATAATAGCAATTCTCAATTTGTCTTTGGCTATCCACTGAAAGAGCCTCATTAGTGACAAGGCTTTTAAAAAACCCTCATTGGAGACACCCTGAAAGAGCACCCTTGCAGACCCCCCAAGTGTCCCTATTTTCCAGGGACAGTCCTGCATTTACAGAAGCCGTTCCGGTTTCTGATCTGATCTTGGAGTGTCCCACTTTTCCTTAGGATGTCCCTATTTTCATCAGATAAAATATTGGAGGGTATGGTAGAATGTCCTTATTTTCAGCAGGTAAATGTTGGAGAGTATGCGACCTTCGAGCCAAGGAAATAAGTAACTACACAACCTTTAGAAGACATCTGAAGGCTGCCCTGTATAGGGAAGTTTTTTAAAATCTTTAATGTTTTGTTATGTTTTTACATATGTTGGAAGCCACCCAGAGTGGCTGAGACAACCCAGTCAGATGGACAGGTTATAAATAATAACATCATCATCATTATTAAATAGGATGTCCCTATTTTCATCAGCGAAATGTTAGAGGGTGTGCCTTTGCTGCCATGAATCCAGTGCTTCCCTGCCAGTCAGGAGGACAGGTGAATAACAACACCCCACCTTAGCATACCATGCCTAAACCCCATTCATTATCCCCCAAATTATCTCGAGATGAAATCATCTTAAATGATTTCCCCAACCCAGATCACCCCACAACACAATTTCCCTCAAATTCATTTTATATTCAGAAATATTTGGGGCACTTAGAAAAAGATTTGGGATCCTTACAGCTCCCCTGTTAAACGGATCTAGAACACATCTGACTTAAGGGTAAAAACAGGGCTGCCTCGTTTGACATCTGCAGATCAATTCTATACTTAACACATGCTGAATGACAGCAGGAATTGACCCTAGGGCCTTTTGCCTAGAAAATAAGCTTTACATGCCCCTAGGTCCTGAAAGCTTCTTATGCAGCTTTACTCCTGGTTTGCCAGCACTCCACATGTGATGACCCTGTATCAACTCCACTGATGTTAAACAGGTCACTGTCGGCACATAATCAGAATAGCAGTATTTTTCATGGGGCAGCAGTAACCAATATTCCAGCTCCCCCTGAAAAAGGCTTGGAGAAGATCACCAGACTAAAATGAGACTAGAAGCTCCTCAGGAGTGTTGCGTGATCAGAATATTCAGAGCATCAGCAGTAATAGGAAATTTGCTTTGCAGATGCAGGTAACAAGAGTTTTTTTGTTACAAATCTTAAGAAATGCTCATGTGATGGGGTTCTGGGTGCAGGACTTTGAAAACGGCAGGCTTTGAAATTTCCATCTAACCCCGCAGTAAAGGTAAATGATTAAACTAGCCATAATAACCAGACTACTTCTGAAAAAGATCCAACACATACAGCACGTTCATAAGCAGCAATTCAAAACTGAGAAAGGCACATTCCATTCAAAAAAATAGAAAGTGTGCAATATCATAACAGACAGACAGAAATTACTGTTCTATACCAAGCAAAGTATAAACGGCAAAGATAAACACCATGAGGATTATTCATAGATGTTATTTAATAGTATTTTAGATAAGAACCACATGTTCTTATATGTATGGGCATTACATATGTAAACAGAATGTTGTCTGACCGCAGCTAAATACCCACCTTATTAAAGTCGAATGTTTCAAACATCTGCTCGATGTATTCATTTGATGCTGGAGTCAGGTTTTTCAAGCCAAAAAACTGCTTGAACTCATGCAAGGTCAGCTGACCGGAGGGACACTCTGTCATGAACTTCTTGTACCACTGGTGGCACTCGGTAGCGCTCAGTTCCTCAACAGACTTTCCATCCATGTTCCCCATTGTAAAGCAAAAGAGGTGAGCACGTCTCTCAAAAACAGCTGAGGACTTCTAGAGGCTTCCCCCTTGTTACAATTCAGAAGCAGGCGGTTTGAGATTTATAAGGGAAAGAAAACAGCAAAAGGCTTGCTAAAGAGTGGGGATGATTGGGGGAGCTTCCTGAGAAAATTTCACACTCTCTGATGGAGTTTTAAAATTGCAAAAGCCTCTTCAAAGAAGCACCTGATGTTTAAGTACCCACTAAATCCTCCTCCAGCCAATGAGAGAAGAGTCCTATGATGGGATCCCAAAAGGGGCATGGGAAGTTCAGGGCAAAAAATAGAAAGGTGGTAAAATGGGAAAGCGTTTTGCAGATTATGGGACCCAGGAGATTAAAATGGCAGGATTTACCTGAAGACATCGTAAGCTTCTAATCCACTTCTCTTTTGATTCTATCAGCCATGTGCAGATATGGCATACAGGACAGAATGAGCTTCATACTTTGACTATGTGCTGTGTGAACAAGTACTTTATCTGTCCTGAATCTTCTAACATTCAGCATCATTGGGTGTCCACAAGTTATGAGAGAGAAAAACTTTACTTAGTCAATTTCCTCCAGGCCATGAGTAATTTTATGAACTTCTATCATGTCACCTCAGTCTTGTCAACTTTCTTGAGAAATACTGTCATTTGATGTGTTTTCCCTCAAGCCAGCTTCAATCCAAAAAGAAAACATAAGCCACATTCATTTCGCAGTAAAGCGGAGGTGTGTACATTTGAGACAGCCATGGTATATACATGGATGACAGTGTGTGATAGCTTCACAAATAGGAGTTGGGAGGGTTTTTTTCTTCTTCAGTGAAGGGGAAATCAAACAGGGAATGCTCATCTGGCAAAGACATCCCAGCCTCCTGTCTGGTTTGTACAGCAACATGCAAATAGACTTCAAACACAGTGTGTGTGTGGGGGGGGGGGTTGACCTTGCTGTATTTTAAGCAATTAGTGTGCAGATAGCCTTCATCTCCCCAAGTCATACTTGTATCCATCCAACAGGGAAAGACACTAAGCTGCACAGCCCCATTTTTTCCAGCAACCCAGTGTGAAAGGGAGATGTTTTTCCACGTGTCAGCTTTCCTCTTTATTATTATTATGAATTTGTGCGTGTTAGACACCCTAAACTCTTTGGGACCAGTAGGTGTTAGAATTTAATCAAGGCTTGGAGCATTAAAACTGGAGGCCAGAGCAGTGTGTTTTAAGATGTGCCAGACACTTTTAACCCATGGAATCAGCAAATTAAGCTAGGCTAACTTTCTCAGCCTGGGGGATGAGCAGTGGCGTAGCGTGGGGGGTGCAGGGGGGGCCGGCCGCACCGGGCGCAACATCTGGGGGGGGCGCGCTCGCACTCGCAGTGCTAAAATCAGTGCTAAAATCCACGGGTTAGGGGGCGCAAATTACTTGCCTTGCCCCGGGTGCTGACAACCCACGCTACGCCACTGGGGATGAGCAATTAAGAGGACAAAGGATCAGAGGGCCTTGGTATGAGATGGCAAATGGTTGGGGCCGCCTTCCTCGACTCAGTTAGATGATGAAGCCAGAGGTTAGAGTTAGAAGCAATGTAAGTTAGGAGTTACCGTATTTTTCGCTCTATAAGACGCACCAGACCACAAGACGCATCTAGTTTTTGGAGGAGGAAAACAAGAAAAAAAATATTCTGAATCTCAGAAGCCAGAACAGCAAGAGGGATCGCTGCGTAGTGAAAGCAGCGATCCCTCTTGCTGTTCTGGCTTCTGGGATAGCTGCGCAGCCTCTGCATTCGCTCCATAAGACGCACATACATTTCCCCTTACTTTTTAGGAGGGAAAAAGTGAGTCTTATACAGTAGAGCAAAAAATACGGTATGTGATTGAAACGCAAAGCAGCAGGCAGCTGCAGCTGTGCTTGAGTCCTACCCTAGGGTGCACCTCTGGGGAAAACAAGACCCTCTTGGAGTGCTGACACTATGAACTCCTCCATTGTAGGCTCAGGTTGTATAGATTTGTGAATAAACCATGTAACATAAAAAGACCATAGTCTCAGCTGCGCCTCATTTCCAAAAGGAGACACGGACCCTGAGTAAAGTACCTGGAACCCCCCGGAATCTCATTCCGCTAAGAGATTGTGGGTGGCCTGCAACTTTCTTCTTATTCTATTTCTATTCTGCCCTTCCTCCACATTTTGTCACACATCTGCTTCAGGCAACACCTGCCTAATGCTCCTCACCACTTCTGTATCAGTTCTGCCAGTGCTTTTTTCCTGGGGGGACACAGGGGGACGCATACCCCTAAACATTTTGTGAATCTGAGTTTGGCCTCATTGAGGGGCAGTATTTCAATATGAGTAGGAAAATTAGAGTACTCCTAAACATTTTTTTTTAGAAAAAAAGCATAGAGTTTTGCTTCCCAAACTCGTCTCCATTGCTCATTTCCCATTTGTCTCCATCTTCACTACATTGCAGTTTACCCTGAATCAGGAATGCTTTAAGGGGTGGCCTAGCAGGTCCGAGCTCTGAATCTTTTGCACCAGCCCAGTCTCCTGCCTGATTTTTCTCCATTTTTAAAAGCCCAGTGCTGGTGAAGACCTGGCACTTGCCATCTGAATTGGTTCACTTATACATTAGCACACGCAAACGATATGCACATTGGTGTCACCGGCCTGTGCTTGGATCCTTGAAGTGCCTAGAAAAACTCCTGCCCTGAATCTGATTGAAATATTATTAAAATAGCAACCGTAAGAGCAATCCTATGCACACTTTCCTGAGATATACATGTATATCTGCCTATACATGTATTTTCTGAGATATACATGTATATCTGAGATATACATGTATATTTCTGCGTATACATGTATAGGATTGTGCCATTAAGCCACCCACATTTTCCAATGATCGCATTGTTTCATTTATTGCCATATATGCCCACATAGAATGCTTTCCCAGCAGCACCCCATAGAACTTAAGAGACAAATACATAAAATTATAGAAGATCTCAGCTAGCAGGTCTTGCAAGAATCCATGAAAACTGAAGCCAACTTTTGCCAAGAAGTTTCTGGGTCGCCAGAGCAAAAGAACGCAGTTCTAAATTCTGTGAGTCTTGCCACTTCCGCCCACTCCCAAAAAACCCTGGATCTCTGCTGTTTGTTCTATATGTTTCTAGAAACTGTGTCTTTGGAAAGAGCAAGTCAGATCAAGGAATCAGTTGCAGCCCAGTGCAAGGCAGTTCGTGACACACTTCTGCAGCTTGTGTAAGTGGATTAATATTAAGGACGAGGAGGAAACACCTGTTTATAGCAGAGGAAATACCATGTCTGCTAAGCACCAGGGATAGCCCCTACGCAATTAGAGGATTTCAGGGGATTCCCTCCAATCTGCTGCAGACCCACTAAGTGTTGAAATTCAGCAGTTAGTTAGCCTGACCTAAATTTGGCTTTTGCTAGAAGCTCCTCTGCATTGACACATCTAAGGATTTACTTCTGATCATCCTGGGCTGCCTTCATCTCTTTCAGAAAGCCCCTTGGCATTTAGCCTGTTCTTTCAGAGATAGGGACAGTTTTAAATTTTGCTCTATGCAATGTGTCCAGCTCGGGTTGTTTTTTGCTTTGGGATCATTTCAGTTTCCCTAAAATAAACATTCCAGCAGCAATGGTCACTTACATAACCTAGCCTGGCATAAAATGAACAAGTGTGGCAAATGCTCCTTAGTAAGACTCCTGAGCTGTCGTGGAACGGTTAGCAATGCATGAGTGTAACTTGCCTGTGTCCATGCAGATAAAGTATCAGGACTGAAATGCATACTTTATAGTGTGTGCAGCAGGCAGCCCTTGTGGAACTTCTTAAAATAACTGGACCTGGATAAAGTGCAACCAACTATGGATGCTTTCTCGTGCTACTTCCTCCTTGCAAATAGGGATGTGTGGGAACCCAATGACATCTGCATGAAGGAAACACAGCATCAGCATAACATCTAAAATATCTTCAGCCATGTTAAAGCAGATGGAAAACACACATACTGTAAAACAAACAGAAAAATAAATAGCTCAGCATTTGCAAGAGGATAGAAGCTGGAGACTTCCCCAGCAGGAGTCATCCCGACTCCAGTTTCATCCTCTACAAAGTGAGTGCACACCTAGAGGTCCCAGGCATTTGTGTTGTTGTGTCTTCCTCCCCCCTGCAGTACTTAAGATGTCCTAATTGTGTGGGCCCACAAATAATTTTAGACTCTGGGCTTAATGCGCTCTCTCTCTCTCTCTCTCTCTCTCTCTCTCACACACACACACACACACACACACAATCTCTTCACATGGTAATCTGTATCATTTCACTTACATCCAAATGTGGTAAGCACATACTGATTCTGCCCCTCAAATAACATCCCTGATAACCAAGATGTTTCTGATACACACAAATAGGTTGTGTAAAGTCCAATGTTCTCAATGTGTCACTAGACTACAGCAGAGCCTTATTTCAGGTGCACCCCAGGTTTCAAGAGAATGGTGGGTACTTCTTATACAGTGGTGCCCCACAAGACGAATGCCTCGCTAGACGAAAAACTCGCTAGACGAAAGGGTTTTCCGTTTTTTAGTCGTTCCGCAAGACGAATTTCCCTATGGGCTTGCTTCACAAGACAAAACGTCTTGCGAGTTCTTGCGAGTTTGTTTCCTTTTTCTTAAAGCCGCTAAGCCGCTAATAGCCGCTAAGCCACTAATAGCCGTGCTTTGCGAGACGAAAAAACCACAAGATGAAGAGACTCACGGAATGGATTAATTTCGTCTTGCGAGGCACCACTGTATAACAAAGCTGTGGAGATACACAGCCCTGCTGCAGCAATGATCTGTCTGCTTGCTTAGGATACTGTGGGTTTCCCTCTCATGCTTCCACCTTAACATCTTTGCAAATTTCCAGATCGCTAAACTGGCTGCCTACCTTCTTCACCTGCCTTAGAAGTGACATCTTCAGCTCATGAAAGTCCATTCACATGCTATACCAAAGT